CTCTGCACCCACTCCCACCCCCACTAACTCCGGGGGAGCAGCAGACCCTTCCTGCAAGCCCCTCTGGGTGAATGGGACACTGCAAGGCTCGGGAAGCAGCGGTTGTGGGTGCCACCCAGAAGGCTGTCACGGCGTTGACGTCAGCCGCCGCAGACACCACTCGAACCGCCTCTTTCCTGCTGGAGCCTCGGAAAACCCACTCAGGGATTTGTAATCCTTTGCCACGCATGAGCTGGGACAGAGGGGACACGGCCACACACAGGGGCCTCAAACATTCTCGGAAATAATGATGGTCCATAAACAAAGTATTGCTGCAAAATCATAAACCTTCCCCAAAGGATTCTGCCCACTCGTTTACCCCTCAGAAGGCAGCTTCGAAATCCTGGAGGGACTCCCCGTGAAGTCTGGGGAACGAAAACTCTGCACGGGCGCCATCAGGCATGTTCACCCAAGACAAATGTTGCTGCCCTCCAAGAACTGAGCAGGTGCAGTGTCAGGACAGGGAGAAATCTCCTCAGCCCAACCTTCCTGGGCTTTCCTCAACATTGCCGCCTTTGATTTTCTTCTCCCATCTTCCCAGCTCCTGAGGGCCTGCTCCGCTGGAGAAACTCTATCTCAGGTACCCCCTAGGGATCCTGTAAGACAGCTGCCAGAAATTTCTGAGCTAATCTCTCTGAACTTCACAGAAGTCAGTTTTGATTGGACCTGGCTCCCTGGTTATATAATTCAGTCCGTGAACGTGGCTCTAATAGTGTCAATCTTGCTTCAAAGACGGATGCCGGCTGAGCTGTTTGAGCAGACCCGTCTCTGCCATCGAGGGGACCTGGTTCTGACTCAACCACCAGTCCTCCGCCCCCTCACAGCTGTTCTTGTCTGAGCCCATTGTTGCAGCCACTGTGTCCACCGCGTTCCGGCCACACAAAGGATAGCTCAGAGAAGGAAGGAAGAAAAACGGTCACCAGCGGACAACAAAGCCCAGAGGAGGAGCGGTGCCACGCCAGCCCTGGGTGGGCGTGTGCTTTGACAGGTGACCCACGCCTCAGGACTGCGCGAGTTCCTGGAGAGGACACCCCCACCTCCACCTACTGCTGTGCCCTCAGGTCTCCTTCCTGTGAGAGTGAGACTAAAGGAAGCATGACTTTCCCTAATCTGTCAAACCAGCAACCAGAGCAAAAACTCCAAGCGGTCCAGGAGCAGAATGGCAGGAAGGAATGGGTGCGGGTCTCGGTGCCGTCCTGTCTGTGCTGTGGTTCTCAGGCGCTGAACCCACAGCTTCAGTGCAGGAAACATGATGCCGAACATGAGGGCACAGGAGGTCCAAACTGCACACTAAACTCCAGTGACTTCCTCATGGGCACTGAGGGTGTGGGCGCGCATTCAGACTGCTGCTTCAGACGCTGGCTGGCCTGTCCCTGATACGTTCTGAGACTGTCCAGGGCTAAGGAAGACCCAGATTAGAATGTATTTCAGAGACCTTTCATGATGACGTCTTCAGCAGGCAGCAGCAGGGTAGACAATCCCTCTGGAAGAGGGAGACCATCAGCATGAGGTCACACACAGCCCTAAGGCTCCATGCATAGACAGAACAAGGGGGTCAAAGACAATGGCCAGAGCATCACGACTGGCGGCAGTTGGCTTCCTCCATTGGCGGTGCAGGCAGGGACAAGAAGCCGCTGGAGGAAGACCAGGCTCTGGAGCCCCCTGCACAGGTCCAGCGCCCTCAAGTGGGCAGCATCTGAAGAGAGGTGTGTTAGTCTGGGTAGACTAGAGAAACAAATTCATGGACACATGTGTATAAGAGCTTTACAGGCAAGAGCAACTAAATGTTGAGAAAACATTCCAGCCCAGTCCGAGATTAGCCCATATGTCTGATACCAATCTATAAAGTCCTCTTCAGACTCACAAAATGCATGCAATGATGCTGAATGCAGGAAGATCACAGGCCAGTGGTTGGGCAGTCTTGTGGATCCAGTGGCAGTGGAAGCGGCTCAGCACTGGCAGGGGTCTCCACATGGCTTCTCCAGCTCCCAGGGTTCTGGCTGCATCAGGGTACCTCCATGTGGCTTCTCAACAGGAATGTCTCCCAGGGAGTGAGCTGAGAGCTTCCTGCCTCCAAGGAGGTATACCAGAGTTCCCAGAATCCTCAGGAGAAGGCTATGCCCACACAGAGGCCTCATTGGCTATGACCCGATACAAGCTAGACTCCACCCTTTCACCCTTAATCCTCTCAAAATGACAAGCGATTATATGACTAACACCGCCCCGCCCTCCTCTCCGGCCCTCCAGTGGCATGCACACAACCAGGCTGTCATGACCCATAGGGGGTCTCACTGGCTAACCTCGGCAAGTTGAGAAAACAAGCCTGGAGGCTCCATCTGACTTTCTCTGGCCATGCCAGGGGGATGTGAGCCCATCAGCATCCTGGTACAAGGTCCACTGTCACGGGCAGAGATTACAGACGTCTCCACCCACCCTCCAACTGGTTGCACGAATTCGGACACCTACTCTTCCTCCACTGGGTCTGGTCACTTGCTGCAGGGGCCACACAGAATTGACACTGCTCACACTTACTGGGGTGTGTGTGGTCAGCGAAGTTTGCAGGTCACCCTACGTCAGGATCAGTGAACAGTAAGCACAGTCATCGGGCCACAGCAGCAGCTGTCCTCAGCCAGCAGCCAGGTCTCTCTGGTCCTCAGCCTCTGAACTGCAAAGGCCGCTGGTCTCTGCTTCCGTGGGCCAGGAAGCCTCTCCCTGCGCTGCCTCACGGGCTGGGTGACTGTGCTGCTCCTGCGTTCTGTCCCACGGCCTCAGCCAGGCCGCGGGGATCCGGACGGACGTGCTCCACTGGGACTCTTCTTCCTGAAAGGCCCTGGGGGGAGGAACGTCACCACAGCAGTAAATCCTCCCTGGTCTTCCTAGTCCATCTCCGTCTGGGAGTTTTGTAGGAGCCTGCCCACCATGGGCCCTGCTGGTTTGAAATACCAATGGTGTATCTTTTAGCACCCGGTAACATACAAATCCCCACAGCCTATGAGACAGTGACACGTTTTTAAATAAAGCGCACAACTGTGTGCTTTGTTTATGTCTTGTGTGCAGCTGCTGCCCCACGGAACAATTAAGAAGCAAAATGAAATTGTTGTGACCGAGACCAGAGTGTCTGTCAAGTAAGAACTGTGTCCTCTGTCCTGATTTAGAAAATGATGTCCATTTCACCTTTCTTGCAGATTGAGATGCAAAAATGGCCAGGGGCAACACCTGACAGCTTCTAACTTTCACAGGGGGGGTGGGGGAGAGGTGCACGCACGTGTGTGTGTGTGTGTGTGTGTGTGTGTGTGTGTGTCTTTGGGGGGGCATCGCCCCAAGGGTGATTCCCAGGAGGTGGAAGTCAGCCTTGGCTTCATCCTCCACTCATGTACCCTTTCTATCACCACCTGCCCTCCCCGTGAGAGCTTACACTTCTCCTGGGCTCAACAATCCACTGCACGGTTGTGGAGAAAAGGAGGGTTTCTCTCAAGCTGTCTCCCCCAAATCCAGACTTAGCTGTGTGAGAATGACTGTACACTTGGAGGTCAAGAGTGGATTAGGAGTCATTCTCCCTGAGAGGTATCAGCTGTCTAGATCAAGCAGACACCACTGTTTATCCCACAACAAATAAGACCCACTGCCTTCTGATAAGGATAGTAGTTGTTTACTTGAAGATACCAGAGAGGTCAAACCCGCCCAAGGATGACCAAGGTTAGGTAGCCATTATGGGCACACCCCTAGGCCATCCCCCTATTGATTGTATTGCCTGTGTTGCTACCCCTCCCTATGACATAGGTTTATTGTCTGCTATCAGGGGGCTTGCATGCCTCCCAGGATAGTAATTGTCTGTTTTATTGTATGAGACACCATAGTGATCAAACTTGTTCAAGGATGAATTATATTGCCCCTTCCTTTGATATATGACTCTGTAATCAGATCCCCCTAAAGTGATATGATGCGTGGTTAGCAATAAATGAGGAGGCTCCCTGGTTCTCGGGGTGGTGGCTGAGGAGGACGAGGCAGCTGCTTTTACTCTGGCAGCTAAGTCCCCACCATGAGGACCATCAAGTGGGGCTGAGGTGAGCAATGCTACCATGAATTGCATCTGACTCAATTACTTGACTCCACCTTTTAACTCTCATGCTCTCTATGACTTTACTATAATCTCTACTTCTTATTGCTGTACAATTGCGCCTACTGAACCTGTGATGTTTTATGGGGTTCCCTCTTCCCTTTGACCCCACACACCAGCCACACAGAACTCTTAAGGCAACATTTGCCGTTAAGGGGATTATTAGAGAAACAAGCTACCATTCAAGTTCAGGAGTGCGCGGGATACAGTTCTTCATCAGCACTGAACGCAGGCAGGGCTCTGCAGCCCAGCCACTTAGCCACCTCACCCTCTGCACTGCTCTGGTTTCACTTGCCTCTTTAGTGCTGCCAGTAAATGCCCCTCTGCCAGTTTCACCTAGGTCTTTAGCGCTGCTGGTAAATGCCCCACTGCCAGCAAGACCCAACAAGAGCTGGGAACCGGGTTAACAACCTAGTTTGTTGTCAGTTCCCAACTACCCAGCTACTCTGTTACTACCTGCGTGTCAGAACTTTGCGAGTCCAGCTGCAAGGGTTCCAGTCACAGCACCCCCTAAGTAACGAAGCTGAGAAGCTGGGTGATCGAGCAGGAAGAGAGGGGGCAGAGGTCCAATCTGCTTCTCAACCAGGAAATGGGGGGGGGGGGGCTTCAGAGAGCCCCTGGCTATCGATACCCACCCTGCCTCTTCACTCCCCTCCGATGAACTCTGAAGCCCCTCGTATGGATGTAATCATCCTTACACTAAATATGTTAAATGTGAATTCCTCCAAACTCAGACCTGTTATGAAAAACAAGACCTGATGAGTAAATCTGACGTCTCAGTAGAATCTAAAAATACATTTCACATTTCTAGCAGCATTAAAAAAAAACAAAACCTGAAGAATTCCCTGAGAATACTTTAATCAGAAAGTGTTTGGGTAATAAATAGCCATTTCACAAAGTGACACTAACTTCTATTGGTGGCGTTCACACACAGTGTAAACATGTAGCCGGAGTCCTTGGAGAGCAGAGAGGGTTGGGTCAGCTGGTCAGCTGACACTCCCAGCATCAGCTCACAGGCCCCAGGAGCTGCCCAGCCAGTCCTGATCTAGACACAGGCACCACAGGGGGCCTGGCGGTGGGGTGGGGTGGGGCCGAGGCTTCAACAGGCCTGGCTTGAGGCATTTCCGGCCAGAGTCTGGCTGTCACGACCAGATGTCCTGCAGATAGCGCTGCTCCTCCCTCAAAGTGGCCAGCATCTTCATGGCGTCCAGCTGCCCCAGGCCGGCCTCTGCTCCCAGGATCTGCACCAGGGCGTTGTTCACGTCTTGGGCCATGTTCTTGGCGTCTCTGGGGAAAAGAACATGGTGTTGGAGAAGTAGCAGTCCTGTTCTCATGAAGTGCTCCTGCATTCACTAACGTGACTCCCCGTGGCAACCTAGCTCTGCCCCTACTTTCTCAGCAGTGCTGCAGCTTGCCGGTGGCGGTGCAATGCCGGCCCCCCAGCACTCGGGGCTCAACCTGTGCCCAACCCTGCCCGCCTGCTGGCTCACCATAGGTCGAGGGGCACCAGGTCCCCTCAGAGCCTGTGGGCTGGCTGGGCTCACCACAAGGATACCGCCTGAAGACTGGAGTGTGGAAGCTCACGGACAGGGCAGGAATCTGACCCTCCCAGCTCCCCACTCCGCGGGCTCCCGGCTCACCCGCACACGTAGAGGCGGCCATTCTCCTGCAGGAGGAGTCTGGCCACCGGCCGGGCGTGCAGCTGCAGGCTGTCCTGCACGTACTTGGCCGGGGCTGCACCCTCACTTGGCGGGGCATCTCTTGAGAAGGCCACCTTCAGGTGAGTGAGGACCCCGAGCTTCAGGAAGCGCCTCAGCTCCTCCCTGAAAGGCAGCAGGCGGTGGTCAGCACAAGGCTCTGCGTCAGTCACCGTGCGGAACCCCACGCCAGAGCCTGACCGCCAGCTGCGCAGACTGCGTGGTACCTGAGCAGGTAGTCCCTGTCCCCGTGTCTGCAACCAAAGAACAGCCACGTGGCCCCAAAGCTGTGGCCTGGGAGCTGCTGCTGGAGCTTCTCTCTGGTAAGAACACAAGAGGGGGGCTGGGGGCCACCAGCACAGCACCAGGTCTGCAGTGCCACCATGCAGCCCACGCACTACTCCACTCAGCAACTCTTTGACCCCAGTCACACCTTGTGTCACTGCAGAAAGCCACTGCTGGCCAGGATGTCGCTGTCGCCAGGGCTGTGGCTCCATCCTGGGGGGGGCAGTCCAAACAGCACATCGCACGGCCCCACAACAGGATGTCCATCTGCCCCAACCGCGTGCCCACACAAATCACACACATGCTACGTGTCTTTGGAACCACACCACCTCGACATGTGTGGGCTACAGGCGCATATACGTTACGTGTGTGCATGTGTTTCATGCATGGTGCGCTACTTGTGTGGGTGTGTCATTTGCATGGGCATGTTACATGCATGTGTTTGCATTTCATGAATGGTGAGCTAATTGTGTGGGTTATTTGTGTGGCATGTTAGATGCATGTGTGTGCATTATATGTGCATGTGTTATGTGCACAAAAGCATTATGTGCATGGGCTCATTGTGCACATGGAGGGGCTATACACACAGACGCATCATGTGCACAAGTGCCTGCCTTACACCTGGAAAACCCAGGGAGCGGCTGAATGACTCCTGGGGGCTTCTAGAAGTTCATGGAGAAATTCTACTACTGTCCCATTTTACCTTCACGAGCATTTTGAAGCCCCTCCCGGATATGAATGTACCTCCGTGAAGAAGGGGTCCTACGGGGACAGTCTGCTATGGTACCCACATTTGATCACCACATACCTCCACCAAAAGCACCCCACCCAAGCCCAACAGACCACGGCCGACTCTCCAGGCCCCCCTGCCCCCCGAGGCCGGCTGAGGCACGTACCTGTGCTGCAGGAAGCCGATGAAGGGGGCGACACCGGTGCCCGGGCCCACCATGATGATGGGCACTGTGGGGTCATCCGGCAGGCGGAAGGTGCTCATGGCCCGAGGAGCAATGCAGACCTGCAGCCGTGAACCAAGGAGGACAGGTGTGGCAGGAGACCCCGCCCACTCAGACCGAAGCCTTCTCTGCAGGGCCTCAGTGAGAAACTTCAGTGAGAACTCACGCAGCCCCACCCCTCCCCGGACCGAGCCAGGAACGCGGGGACCCATTTCCCTGTGCAGAGGCTAGACCCATGTGCACATTGTGACGTGTGCTGGATCTATGCACAGGCTGGCCACTTCTGAGGAGGGAGACCGAGGAGATAACCACCACGTTCTCTTCTGCCCGGGGGCACAAGTGTGACTAGGGGAACCTGCGCCATCTTGTCCCCGTGCCCCAGCAAGAGCCCGTCCCCACACCCCAGCAAGAGCCCGTCCCCACACCCCAGCAGGATCTCGTCCCCGCACCCCAGCAAGAGCCCGTCACACTGCACCCCAGAAAGATCCCATCCCCGTCCCCCAGCAAGAGCCCGTCCCGCACCCCAGCAAAAGCCCGTCACACTGTACCCCAGCAAGAGCGCGTCCCCGCACCCCAGCAAGAGCCCATTACACTGCACCCCTGCAAGAGCCCGTGCCCGCACCCCAGCAAGAGCCCGTCACACTGCACCCCAGCAAGATCCCATCCCCGTCCCCCAGCAAGAGCCCGTCCCGCACCCCAGCAAGAGCCCGTCACACTGCACCCCAGCACAAGCAGCTGGAGTTGACAAGCGGCCCCAGGACCCTGGGTTGGGATCAGCATGCAAACCCGTGCTGCTCCCTGGTGATGTTATCTTACTGCTCAGTCACAGAGGTGCCTCAGGGTAGCTGGCCTATACCACAGGATGGGCACTTGCTCACGTGGGGACTTCCCCAAACTCCTGGACCAATTCCACTTTCCCAGGCCTCCTGGAAGGCCCCTCAGAGCCCCCCTGGAACAGTCCACGTCTCTCAACGAAGACCTGGCATAGCTGTCTCCTTCCTGTTTCCGCATTTGGGAGTGAGCCGGTAACTGGCACTGGAATGTTGCTAGAGTATTGCTGGCTAACCTACTCCCCCAGCAGCTGCACAAGGGTCCTCAAACCACAGCCCCTGGGGACACAGGGTAGAGCGGAGCGGTGCAAGCTGCATTCAGTGGGGAAACTGCAGGTGCCGCCCCTAGAACGGTGGCGCCATGGTGGTTGTGGTAGACACGAGAGCTGCACAGGGGGAGACAGCGTAGACCGAGTCCCACACCACCCACATTTGATGATCAGAGATGTCTCTCCTGTACACAATTCTGGGGTCACGGGACAGTCAGGCATGTCCCCCCAGGAAACAGGAGTTGCCCCTTGGGGACAGGGACCTGGGACACTCACTCACTGCCTTTGGGTGACTCTAAGGCAGACGTCACCCCAGGATGACCGAGCTGTCAGGTACCTGTGGGGCCGGGGCCTCCCCGCTGTCTGCGTCTGCAGGGGATACGTGCTTCCCTCGCTGAAGCACTGAGGCGGCTTGTGTGGCCAGCCAGCCTGTGCACACGCCCCTGCGCGGGGTGGCCCCTGGGGAGCCGGGCAGCAACTCCACGATGTTAAAGATGAAATGGAGCTTCCCTGGGTGGGCCAGACTGGAGCTGTGGAGACAGAGACAACCCTGCAGGGTCTGAAGGAGGGTCCCCCCCAGGCTGTTTGGCCCTGGAAGCTCTTCCCCACTCCCAGCCAGAGCAGAGGACCGAGGCAGGGTGGACCCCTGGGCGGAGCGGGTTTCCGCACAATGTGGGTTCTTAGGGCCTTAACTACTCCCACTGTCCTTTAGTCTGCATGCCATGGTGCGGGGACACGTGTGACACTGAGGGGTCCCAAAAAGGGAGCCCCTGCCGCTGGAGAGCAACATGGAGGGCAGGTGAGAGCGGCATCCAGAGGAGGTGAACTGTGTGGTGTCCTTGTGTGGAAGGTCAGTCAGTGAGCCCTGAGTCCTGGTCACCCTCCCACAGACCGCTGCCTGCTGCTGCTGCTGGGGCGCTGGCCACACTCACACCCAGAGCCCCACCTATGCAGAGACTGGTCCTCAGGGGAGGGTACAGCACAGTGTGGTGGTGACACCACCAATGGTGATGTGCTGTGGGTAGGGTAGCAGTGTGTGTCCTACAGGAGCACAGAGGGGGCACAGGAGAGCTGTGACACTGTGACGGCTTGTCCTGCAGGGACATGGAGGTGTGGATGCAGCACACTGGACAGAGAAAGCACCAGGCTTCACCAGGCACTCTCCCTTCGCTCCTGAGTCATGTGGTCTCAATACCCGGCCTGGAATGCCGCGCAAAGGAGGGTGGGACAGAGCAGGAACCCTGCCCTAAGCAGGAAACCACTGTGCTGGTCAAGGACGCCCAACACAGTGCCCTGCACGGCCCCTGGGACAGGCATCCGAACTCCCTCCTCCATCCCTGCTGCATCTGGGGTTGCCACTGCCTGTCACAAGTGGGGACACCCAGGGGTGGGACTGCACGGCGAGACAGGTAGCCAGGTTCCCTCCTGCATCCCTTTGTCAAGCAGCCAGCAAGGCCCTGAGCGCGTGAAGGGAGTGGGCGTTCTGGAAAGCGTGCCCACGGCGGAGAAGGAAGTACCTTGCGCACGAGTACGGCCTGGGCTGAAGCCGTGGCAGATGCTCTGGAAGAGGGCAGAGGCCAGCGTCAGTACAGCTGCTGGACAGGGCGGCGCCCGGCCTCCTCGCTCCCGTGGGGACCCTACAGGCAGCCGCGCATACACCACAAGACCCAGAGCAGGATGAGCCCGGCAAAAGCCGCCCTCCCCAGTCCCGGCACAGTGGTGCCGACCGCTCCCGCCAGGTTCTGAGTCACGGCCGACACTTGGCAACTCCTGGCTCTGACAACTGGGTTGATGTCCGGAGCCTGGCAAGAGCCAGTTTTGGAGCAGTGTGGGTGGCAAAGAGGTGGGGGCAGGTCTGAAGCCTGGGGGTGGGGTGGGGTGGGGGTGCTCATGAATGTTTCCTCATCTGACACTCTCAGAGGAGCAATGTGACCCCAGAAAAGGGAAGGGCTATGAGAACTAGTTACTTTCCAAAAGCAAGTCTCCCCAGGTGTACCACCTCCCTCCCTATACACACACACATTCTCTCTCTTCCAGGTCTGACGCTCTCGTGGGGGTAACATAACCCCAGAAAGGGAAGGGCTAGATAATTGGTTACCCTCCACACTCAGCTTTCCCAGCTGGATCACATAGGTGCACCACACCCCCACACACACCCAATGCCTGGGAAGCCCCCCAGTGATAGGGGTGGTGGCTGTGCCCTGACCATTGAGACAGAGCTGTGAGTATGCATTCCAGATAAAGGTTTGGCTAACTGCACTTTTGTGAAAGCAATTACGTTATAAAAGCTGGTAAATGCTGTGCGAGACTCTGGGTCCCTGGCAGTGCTGAGGGCCGAGAACAGAACCTGGCCTCCTGACAAAGCTATGGGCCGACGGGACAAGCGCTGGGAACAGTGCTGAGGGCTGATGGGAGACCCTGGACTGACAGCTGTGGCTTAATGAGACAGTCTGGGGCCGACACAGCCGTGTGCTGATGGTACAGACCCTGGAGGAGCAGATCTGTGGGTCGGCAGCAGTGGGCTGGGAGCCCCAAGACGTGGACCGGCGCCCCGCCCCGCCGGGCTGACCCTCCTTCCCAGCCTCTCACCGAGCAGCAGGGACAGCGGTGGCCGGCAGGTCGGAAAGGCGTGCAGCAGGCCCAGCAGGTCCAGGCCGGCATCCCTCACGAAGTGGCTGTAGTCGGCGGCCCCCTGCCTGCTGCACAGCTCCTGCAGCCTCCGCTTCTCAGCGCCATCACTGGTGCAGTCCGCCAGGGCACGCAGAAAGGCCTGTGGGCAGAGGGTGGACAGGTTCTCCTGTGGCACCTGCTGCTGGGGTGCCAGGCGGCTCCAAACCAGCCAAGAGCAGGTGTTCTCCAGAGACGCCCACCTTCACATGCCACATGCAGGGAGACTCCACCTTCACATGCCACATGCGGTCACCCTAGGCCCAGCATGCCCTGCATTTCAGACCTTGTTTCAGGACTGGGGACCCACAGCGTGGACCAGGCAGGGCAGGACTGGGGACCACGTGCCCCATGCTGCCCCTCAGGGTGCCCAGGACACTGTGAGCAGTGCAAAAGGAAAGTGGAGAGCTGATGGCCCACAGGACCCTCTTGTGTGCCAGAGGCCCACGCCCCAGCACCTAACAATGCCGGCATGAGAAAGCCAACAAGGGTGAGTGGGACAGGTTGAGTGGAGACTTCCTGTAAGAGAACTCTGGACGGACTAAGGCATGGGCCCTGAACTCCCTGCAGTCTGCCCACAACTGACGAAGGTGGGAGGCGGCCAACAAGCAGCCAATGAGCCCTACCAGGGCCTGTCCAGCAGCAGTCACCGATGGGTCACACAAAGCCTGAGGTCTCACCCACTTCTGTCTCCTGCGGGGTTCTGCAGAGTCAGGATCCACCTACAGCTACCCCTCCTGAGGTGACACTGAGCAGCAGGGACTTATGGACTAGTATCAGGCTTAAGGACTTGAGTGGGACTGGGCTGGGATGGTTTCCTGATACACAATCACTTCTTGATGTAAAGCTCTCTCTCTCATACACACGAGTGTCTCTGGATTTGTTTCTCTGGTCAACCTGGTCTACCACACTGACGCCGACTAAACAGCCTACTGCTGTCAACATGACACTGGCCCAGAGGGAAAGGTCTACCCCTGCTGAGGTGACTGACCCCCCAGTGAGCCATCTACGTCTCCTAGGATGACGCTGACCCTGAGTGGGCCACCTACCCCTGCGTGACACTGACCCAGAGACTGTAAAGACATCAAACCACTGCGATGTGAACACCACCGCCTCCCACCCCAGGGCTCGCTTGCACAGACCCCACCCTTCCCTGCACCCGAGGACAGCGGTACCTTCTTGGGGATGGCTCGGATCTCCAGGCACCATGTGAGGATGGACCGCAAAGAGCAGCTCCTGGGAATGTGCTGAGGCAGCACCGCCCCTTCCAGGGAAGAATAGGAAAGCGACACCTTTACACCCCTGAAAAGTAGTCAAGCCCTCCCTGTGCACCAGACACACGCCCTCCACGTGCCCCTGACACACACTGCCCTCCCTGTGCACCAGATACCTCCGAGCAGTGTGGCTGGCAGTGCATTCAACCCAAGTCCCCACAAGGAAGTGCAGCCGAAAGGGCGCCTGACAGAAGGCTGTACCCAAACCACCAGGCAGGCCACACGCAGGAACAGAACGCCCAAAGGAAGCCTGGTTCCCAAGATCCCACCAAGCGCCGGAAGTCCAAGAGGATGATGCACACTCAGTTAACAAGAGCAAACCCAACCGCCTCGGAACTACTCTCTCCTCCTCCCTGACCTCAAGTCGACGGACGTCGACTCACAGGAACGGAAGAACGGCCCCTGGGGCTTTCCGAGACTGTAGCTCTTCCTGGGAGCAGAAGGGCATCTTGCTCCCACTCTGAGCAAGAGAAAACTTAAACCCAAACCTACTGCCACGGACTCAATTTCAACTCGTAGTGATGCCGCAGGACAGAGTAGAACTGGCCTCCTGTCATGGGGACAGACAGCCTCATCTTTCTTCCAGGGAGCAGCTGGGGGTGGGGAAGGAACCCCCGCTTAGCCCAGTGCACCCCCAGGGCACATATACTAAGCCATCAGTCACGTGCTGCGAGAGCTAGCACAGCAGGGAAACCGGTGGAAAAACAGTGCTAGGGCACTGCTTCCTGAAGACCACCGGCCTCCCTCTCCCAGTGTCCATTCCCTCTTCTCAGGCACCAGGAAGGCCCCCGTCTGGGCCCCCCCC